TTGGTTCATTTAATTATAAATAGCTCAACACCTTAGCCTGGAAAAAATTTTAAATGAATCTGACGGATCTAGCGAAGACGAATTTATTGATTCGGAAACTTTGGATACAGAATCGGAAATACATGCTTTTGAGGTAGAAATTTTTTTTAAAAAAATTTATTTTTTTTTTAAAGAAAAAATAAAGAACTTTTTTTTTGGATTATCTAAAATTAGGACACTTTGTCAGATATATCATATAAATCAACGACATCAACAACCGCTTCAAATATACCAATGTCACCACGGATATCAAAATCTTATTATGATTCTAATGTTTCAAAACTTCGTACTATGTCGTCAGCATCGCTTGCTTCAGCTAAATCAAAAGCTTCATCACATTTTTCACGTTCATCATCACCTTCTATGTTGTTTAATGAAGATGCTGCATTTTCAACACCACCGGAACCATGGGATGCATTTAGATGGAAGCCTATGGATAAAATTTCTGATCACTTATATTCTCAAAGTGCTGGATTACCAACTGTATTGGCTGTAAGTGTTTCTATTAATATGAATGGATTAAATAGAAAACATATCCTATTTTTTTAAAAAAAAATCCCACTTTTATTCAATTATTTAGGTTAGTGGAGTGATTGCGATAGGTACGACTCGTGGTTTAGTATTGGTCTATGAGAATCCGCAAGAGATTTTAAAATGTATACTTGGATCTACTTCTAACGGTAAAGTTATTTATATAATGGCCAAATAATCATAGGGTAACTTTATCCTAATAAATTTTATTTTACAATATCGTATTTTTCAATAGCTATTGAATACGGTGCTGTCACATCTCTTGCAATTTCCTCTGACCATAGTCAAATATTAAGTGGCCATTCACAAGGATATATTTTAATATGGGATATTAATAAACCAATTAGTCCAATACGTACCATCTTGCCTATTTCTTCAGGTGCTGTAGCTGGTGGGAAAAAGGAAGGTCATATTCATGGTTCAGCTATCTTACATGTTGGCTTTGTTGGCGTTCGCAAAAATGGAATTGTTTCTGGTATTCGAAGTTGATTAAATGATCTTTCAATTTCAACCAATGAAGATACTCCATTTACTTCAAAAAAATAGTTGGATTTTAATAATTATGTAAAATTAAATCTATAATTATAAATTAATTTTTATATTTACCTAAACGAGAAATCGAACCTTCCGAAATTTTTGGTAGAGGCTCTTTTTCTTGAATCTCTGGTATTGGGGTAGGACATCGCATAATTATATTATAACCATATGCTTTAGCGAGATAAGAGCAATGTTTTTTTAAACCAACTAATATGCAAATGGGGTAAATACGGGTCAAAATGATAGATAATTCAATAAAAAAAAATGAATTTTATAAAATTTTTTTTTTTTTTGAAAGTTTGAAAGCTTGATCCTAAAGAAGAGGTAAATATATCTTTTAAATAAATTCTACCTCAATGAGTGTA